AAAAAAAACATCAGATGTTTTGCATCCACTAACGATTCACTTCAGAGGGACTCTGGGTGGGTCAGGGTCATCCTAAATGGGACCAGGTTCAAGATTAGGGCAAGTTTTGTTGTGAATTAACCCTGGGAGATACTCACTTTCATTTCATAGGGTATAGAGAGAAATTACATCCGCAGGTCGGCACCGCCGCGTGCTGGGGTGTGCAGTAAGAGTAATAAATCCTGTTATCCAGGGATATTTAAATGATACGTCAGCTGTCAGAAAAAAACCATATTTCACTGGTGTCATCATGGGAAGCTCGTATTTCATGGCTGTGGATTTGCTATTGATGTAATTTTTTAAATTGTAAGTTTTCAAATGTGCTATGAGAAATCTCCCCCTAAGTCAGCTCTGCAGATAAGTTATGAACACCCAGAGAACAAGGAAAAAAAAAGAGCCAGGAAGCTTCTCTGAGCTTTCCCCTTTAACCTCTTCCACTGCGGAGTAGCTTTAATGAAGAAAAGCACTCATGTTTTGGGGACTCGATGGCAGAGTCAATTAATGAATTAGGTTTTCACACCGAGGGACCTTTGCACAAGTCATAGAATCATAGAATGAATCATAGAATGGTTTGGATTGGAAGGGACCTTAAAGATCATCTAGTTCCAATCCCTCTGCCAGCAGCAGGGACACCTTCCACTAGACCAGGTTGCTCAAAGCCTCATCCAGCCTGGCCTTGAACACTTCCAGGGAGGGGGCATCCACAACTTCCTTGGGCAACCTGTTCCAGTGTCCGACCACCCTCACAGTGAAAAACTTCTTCCTAATATCTCATCTAAACCTCCCCTCTTTCAGCTTAAAGCCATTTCCCCTTGTTTTGTCATTAACTGCCCTTATGAAAAGTCCTTCCCCAGCTTTCTTGTAGCCCCTTCAGGTATTGGAAGGCCGCTATAAGATCTCCCCGGAGCCTTCTCTTTTTGAGGCTGCAGCCAGCTCTGCTCCCCTTGCACATCCCCAGTAATGAAACAGCCCGTGGCTTGGCAATCACCACAGGTTGCCAACGGAACTGTTAATACGTTGGCTGTGTCAAACTGCCAACCTCTTCCCGCTGCCCATGCTGCTGATACATTAGCCTTGTGTTCTTCCTTCTCTTTTTATTCCAGCCAAACCTTTTCCAAAGGCCTCTTCCCCCAGCCACAGCCCCTCCAGCAGTTACGTGAAGAGCACTTCATCTTCCTCCACAGGCTTCGACTACTCCCACGACGCCGAGGCTGCGCACATGGCTGCCACTGCCATCCTCAACCTCTCCACCCGCTGCTGGGAAATGCCGGAGAATCTCAGCACCAAGCAGCAAGAAACCCCTGGCAAGGTGAGCTGAGCATGCCCAGGGACCACCGCTCCAGCACGCAGCAGAAGGGGTTAAAAATTCAAGTTTGGGATGGGAAAAATACCTATTTTTACCCTTCCTTTAATAATTTTAATCTTTAAATATATTGGGAATGGAGATACTCAGCACGTATCACCCTTTCGCTCCCTCCTTTGGGTAATGCAGTCTGGAGGAGGTAATCTTGGCTCTTAGTGTGTCATGGAGAAGCATCGTGGTTCAAATTACCCATCTGAGATGAGCATCACTCCCAAGCAGAGTCTCAGGGCTGGTTTCAGTTGCTCACTCATCTGTATCTGATGCCATTTGAGATTCCTCAGTTGTGTCCAGGCTGACCTCCAGCTATTTTTTTCAGAGGAACACAGGTTTTTGAGAAGTCCCATGTTGCACCCCAGCCTTGGGCAGATGTCTTCAGTTCCATGGGACATCTTAAATGGTACTAGATACCTGTGTTCAAGCAGCTGAGTCAAAATGCCACATTGCTGGTAGTACAGGGGTGCATTTGCATGGCACGTTTCTGAAATATTTATGAAAGAACATCCCTTTTCATTCAATTCCTTCTAACTGACTGTAGAGAGGATGGGACATGAATAACCTGCCCCTCCACACTTCAGAAGACAAATAGGGGCAAGATCCCCGTAGGGAATTGCTGACAGCTGCTAACATTGGGCATGTTTCCAACCTTCCAGTCCATGGACATCGAGGTGGATGAAAATGGGACTCTGGACTTGAGTATGAACAAGCACCGCAAACGGGAGAGCACCTTTCCCAGCAGCAGCAGCTGCAGCAGTAGTCCCAGCATGAAGTCCCCAGATGTATCCCAGCGCCAAAACAGCACCAGTGCCACGAGCAGCACCATGACCTCCCCCCAGTCCAGCCAGACCTCCCGTCAGGATGAATGGGATGGGCCCATTGACTACACGAAACCAAACCGTCAGCGGGAAGAGGAGCCAGAAGAGGTGAGCAGTGACTCTTCATGTTTAAATAACACCTCACTGACTGAAGGTGTTATTGAATAACACACTGAAGGTCATGTGTGCTTGCACAGTTGTCCTATTTTCCTCCAGAACTCCTACTTTGCCCTTTGAGCCTAGGAGAGAAATATTATTAGCTTTGTCAGTGCTCCCAGACATCAGCTGGGGACAATCAGGCAGGAGGCAGGGCTGTCCTGGGACAAACATGGGTGCTCTCAGCTCCACTGAGGTGCTCTTACCGAGGAATAACCAACCACTTGCGTTGTCCTGGGTCCGCAGTGCTTTCTTCATTGTAAATCCTTCCAGCAGTGGTGCTCCTGGTGATGTTCCACAGGATGATTTACATCTGCCACTAGCAGGTATGGCCCTGAGTGCCACTTCACATGAATCCTGCAGGTGGGAGAACCCAGGCACTGCCTCCTGGCTGGGATGAGCATCCTGGCCCTGGAAGCAGCACAGTGCCTCTCTGCAGGTGCTGCTGAGGATGAGTATGGGGGGATTGCATGGATCTTCATCCCTTCAAGATCTTGTGAGAGCCAGGTGTAAATCCCTGCACAGATGTGTTTTACACATTGCTCACTAAACCCACTTTTCCTGGCTGTTTTCCTGCAGTCAGAGCCTGCTGCCCACTCTTTTGCCTCCTCGGAAGCTGATGAACAAGAAGTGTCAGAGGAAAACTTTGAAGAACGAAAATACCCAGGGGAAGTTACTTTAACCAACTTCAAGCTTAAATTCCTCTCCAAGGACATCAAGAAAGAGCTGCTCACGTAAGTCCTGACTTCTTGTCTCTTCCTCCAACATCTATAAAATCTGTACCTTGCACAGCCCAGCTGGTAGGAGACAAAATTTGTTAGCAAAGACATTTTAAAAATTAGGAGTATAGTTCCCTTTCTTACTGTGATTGGTCTTACCTCATCTGAGGAGTTCAAATGAAAGCTCCAAGAGAAACCCTCATACAACTGCTGATCATTGAGGTAAAATACATTCCCATATGGCCTTGAAACTCTGCAGCAATGAAGGGAACTTTCTGGGGAGCTTGGTGCTTTCAGGATTCACAGATGGGGCTGTGGAAACCTGCTTCTAAAGCCCATTTTCCCTGGTATTTTCCTGCAAGAGCATTTCTGGCACAGTGATGGAGCCTGTGCAATCTCCTACCCCCTTGTTTTGGGACATTGGGTGATGCTGCAGAGCCAAGAGCACCCAAAGGATCTCAGCACCTTCTTGATGGGGGTGTTGAACCACAGAGTGCCTCGCTGGGAAGATGGGTCTCGGCTGCTGAATGTAGAGCAATGGGTCCCATCACTGTGACACTGCAGAACCACAACATGTGAACTTGGGCTGCAGCAGGATTGCATCTTACATTGGAGAGAGAACTTAACCAACTCACATCTGCATATTCATGGCATTGGGAGGGTGGAAATACAGACCCGGGTCTATTCTATGGGATGGAGTGTTGCTCTGCATCCACACTGATCCCCAAACTAAGGGTTAATGTTTAGAGTCTGACCCAAACGCTGCAGCTTGGACCTGGCTCTGATCTAAGGGCACGTCAGGATCAATCTGGAGGTTGTGATGGGGAGGTCTCCCCTCCCAGGTGTCCCAACAGATCTGCTGTGTGTGGGCCTGTGTGTCTGACCTTCCCATATGTTAAACAGCAGAGTTGGCAGGCATCGTTCTGCTGACCATACACAACGTGGCTCGTGATTTGGCTGCGCAGGCAGGAGGCTGAGGGAGCAGACAGGCAGGAAGGAGATCCATGGGGGTAGAGCATCAGCAACATCTTCCCTAAATGAGCAAAGCACAGACCAGCTGCCCTCTGCAAAGCTCTCAAGGCTTTTTTTAAAACCCAGCAGCAAGCTGAATAGCAATTTCTGAGGTAGAGCCCTGAAGTCCTCCTGTGCTTTAATTGAATTATGAGGGTAAAGAAATTTCCTCAATGGAAACAGCCCTGGAATAAATAAACTGGTGTCGTGGGCAGCCCTGAGCCTTCTCTCCCCATTTAGCATCCTCGTTCTGTTCTGGCCCAAGGGCTGTGGTGAATCAGCTGCAGTTAACTCGGGAGCAGACCTGCCTGCTGTGTCTGGGTGATGCTGCGTGTCTGGGTGTAGTTCTGTGTCTGGGCTTTGCAGATCCATGGCTTTTGGGTCAATCCATTCAATCCATTCCTTCCCAACACTTACACTTGTTCTTCTTGTTGTTGTTGCCCAGTTGCCCAACCCCAGGCTGTGATGGCAGTGGACACATAACGGGAAACTATGCCTCTCATCGCAGGTGGGTTGACCTTTATGTCATGGTTTGGACTCTAAGACAACTTTTTTTTTTTCTTTTCTTTGGTATATTTTTTGACCATGTGGATGGTTTGGTTCTGGTTCCTCCCCACCTTCTATGGCCCCTGTCCCTCCCCACGCCCTGGCCCTTTGTTTCTTTTTCCTTTTTTCCTTTTTTTTTTTTTTTTTTTTTTTTTTTTTTTTTTTTTTTTCTTATCCAGATATTCCATCTCTTCTCTTTCAGCCTTTCTGGTTGTCCTCTTGCTGACAAGAGCCTCAGAAACCTCATGGCTGCCCACTCTGCTGACCTCAAGTATGTTTGCGCTCAACTTGGAACTCCTTTTTTTTGTTTGTTTTTTCTTTTTTCCACCCTTTTTTTTTCTCCTCCCTCTCCCTGCCCCTCCTCTTCTTGCTCTGCTTTTGCTTCCCCATCCCCTTCCTTCTCCTTTCAAAGAGACTGCGAGGAGTTCTGGTGGAGTCCAGCCTTCATCTGCCGCATTGGGAAGAGTCAACATCACGGAGCAAGGCTTATTTTGGGGAGGGGGGATCAGAAATAACCCAGAGCCCTGGCAGGTTTCCTTTGGGCACTGTAGACATGTGTTATTTTCTTCTTCATTTGTCTTTTCCCCAGCTCTCATTCCCTAGTTTGTGCCATAACCTTTTTCATTCCATATTTTTGCACAGATCTCAAAGAATCCCAAGCCTAGATAAAGGCACACGCTTTATTTTTGGGTAGAGGCACAGCTGGGAAAATACCACCAGGACACAGCGCAATGAAGCCAACTCCTTTGGAGAACCTGGGATGCTAATTTTATGCTAGATTTTAGGGGTTGTTTGGGATGCAGTGATGGAGGTTCCTTTTCATTTCCATGGGAGTTTGATTTGTGAGGGAATGAAAGAGGGAGCAAGTGAACGCTTGGTGAGGCTGGATCCTGAGCCAGTGGCACAGGGCTCACAGGCACCCAAATTTCTTTGTTCCCTGATATCCCTTTCTGCTCCTGATGGGAGGAACCTGGTCTTCATATTTGCATTCAAATATCTTCCTCTGAAACCCATTTTTAACTTTGCTGCTGTCTTCCCAGAGCTCCTCATTTTCACTAGGAGCTTATTCTTCATGAGAAGGATTCACAAATTCTCTCTTAGTTTGCCTCCCCTAAAGAATTTTTAGCGTTGGACTCAATGATCTTAAAGGTCTTTTCCAACCAAAACTATTCTATGATTCTATGAAAGGTTTCATAGAAATTGTATTTAAAATAGATGGGCACACTGGGGGGACACGAACCCTCCTCTACCCAACCTACATCTTTGGGGAACAGCTAACTATGAATTTTTTTCCAACATCACTTCCATAAAGCCAACCTATTTTGGAGACTGACTCTCCTCTGAGCTCCTCACTTTGCTGAATCCAGTTTCAGGATTATTTAGACACTGAGATATTAATAGTTATAATTGAAGAGCCTCTACTGAGAGGAAAACCTTGTGTCAGACTTAAGATTGCACAAGCTCATCATTAAAAAAAAAACCAAACAAAAAAACCCCAAACAAGTCCTGTGTCCTGTGTGCAATCAGTGATGTTTAAAGCCATGGATAGAATAGTCAAGTCAGGTGGGAGCCCCTTTGGTCATTAAAGTGGCCAGTAAAGCCCTAAATCCCTTTTTGGTGGCCCAGAGGGCAGCATGAGTCTGGGACGGCTCCACACCCCAATGTAGGTGCTGGTGCCAAGGAAAGTTTTCATTAACTGCCTGCTCCTTAGCACAGAGGTGGGAAAAGCAGCTGGATTAGTTGATAATAATAGAATATGCTAGTGGAGGGAAAGGACTGGCATGATTAGCGCTAAGTACACTTAATCATGCCTTATAGACGATATACATTTTGAAAGAACCTCTTAAGAGAGCTTTGCTGAACTGGTGTTTCTCCAACAGCCTTAAAGAATAGCTCAGTGATCAGGCAATTAGTGTTAGAGATATTAAAAGCTCTCAGGAACCACGCTCATTTCCAGTAAAAACCCAGAGAAAAAGCAAACTGGATCATCCCTAAGACGAACCATCGTGCTGAGCCTTGATGTGCCACATCCCCTGCTCCCCTTGGGCATCCAATGCCAATGGTTTTTATCAAAATATTATATAAACCAGGAGACTTCTGGCCAAAACAAAGCTTTTTAATGTTACTTCCCAAGTACTGTTTTTTTTTCTATGTCCTGGTGAGGATGGGAGTAGAGGAAGGAGGAAGGGAAGAGGATTTGGAGATGTTACAGATAGCGCTGTCATCGCTGTTCACAACTTCAGATAAGGCCATGTCAGTGTTTCTATTATAAATTCTATTTCAGGGGTTAATATTCCTGATATTAAAAAAACAGCTCCAGGCTGGAACATGCAATAAAAGGTCTCTGTCAGTATGATTTGTCTCCAGATAATTAAAAATAAAACTCAAATTACTTCTCTCCCTTTTTTAAAAAGTCCTGAAAGGCAAAAGGAGTTCGGTGTTAGTGTTTTCATAATTTCATCCCACCCTGAAGCTAGAACAAGAGAGAAATCATTTTGCTTTGTATTTTAACAGCATATAACAGGGAAGTGTCACAGTTGTCTCCTAAACCTGTAATTTCTAAATGAGTTAGAGAATTTGCACCCTCATCGGGGTCCTGCTGGATGAGTCCCTCTTCTTCCTGCACCAGACCTACGTGTATTTATGTTTTCCTGGGTTAGAGCAGACTGAGCCTTGGTCTTGACTTAGTCTCCATGTCACCCTTCTAGGACCAGGACTTGTCCCTGTCTCCCACCCATGGTGAGGTACCAATTTTTTTCACCAATGGAGACTCCTCAATGACCCATAAAGGCCAGACCCCCCCTCAGAGCTGGTGCAAAGAGGAGAATTTTGATGTTTTTCTAACAACAACCAAAAAAAGAGGACTTTAAAAAAGGCCATTTCCCAAGCTGCAGAACTAAAAGCACCTGTGGAAATCACTGCTCCATGGACTCTCAGGGGCCAGAGCACCCCAACTGTACCATTGCCTAGGTCAGGCATGAGTTTTCCCAAAGGCATTGGCTGCGCATGCACCATCATGAGTTGCCCATCAGTTCACTGAGGTGTCCTGGAACCTCATCAAGCCTGCTCTGCAGCAGGGCACCAACCAGTGCCACCAAACCAGACACCAGTGGCTTTAAAAATGGGGATTGAGAAAGTGGGGGCACAGCAAAATCCTCCCTTGAAGAGAAAGGGCACTCTGCAAGCTTGCAGTCAAACCATCAGCTCTGCTCACTCCAGCTCTGAAGCGAGCAGCTGAGCTCTTCCCGCTCATCCCACAGCAGATCCGTGGATTTCCTCCCCCCAGCACTAATCACTTGACTCAAACAGCCCTGGCTAATTGGCAGGCTGGCGCATCCTGGATGAGCACTCCTCGCCTCTCTTCCTTGTCCCCATGACAACTTTTATGTCCGCCACGTCACCTACAGCATTTGGAGCAGATCTTTGTGCTCCTGGTACTTCATGTCCCCTCACCTTTCTCGCTTCTACGCCCTTAATGATGCGGTGCTTAACTCGTGCCATTATCTTCGCTGCGCTCGGGAGGGCTGGCAGCCCCCGCTGGCCTTTGTGCAGGTTTGTGTGATCACAGAACTCTTCTCCAGGCTTTGCTTTCAATGATGTCCCTGAGTGCTGGATTCCAGCCTTCAAACCTGTGATCACGGCTGCATCTTCAAAAAACACCTTTGTAACAGCAGCGGCTGGGGACTGAGGAGCAGATTTTGCACTGAAGCACCAAAAGTTGCTGGGGCACCACGTGTGGTGATGTGGTGACCCCCAGCCCAAGGCTCTGCAGGCAGCTGTCCCCTTGCAGACCCCTTGTCCCTTACTCATAGTGTTATTGGAAGAAGGAGACCTTTTCCCTCCTATTCCTTCATTACTTTCCATCATGGGCATCAAACAGTTTTGGAGTCTGAGGACCCTTCTAGGGTGAGGTGTCTCTTTGCCCTCAGTGAGATTAGCCCCCATCACATCACCCAGAACTGAGATGAGACCTTCTGTTGGGCTTCCTCTTGGTGTTGGCTGAGGTGACCCCAGAGGAGAAAGCTGGATGGTCAAGTTGTCCAGAGGTGTAGCCTAGTTTTCTGGTTTCTTGTCTATGCTTGCATCCAGCTCGATGGCCCTGGATGGTGCCTGCCATCTCCTTACGTCTTCCTCAGGAAGACGGACACTGTCCTGGAGGTGGTTTTTTGGCTCCTTCATTATCATCTCCTGAACTGCCTCCTTCATGGTGGTGGGGACAGAGGCTGGGATCCAGGTCCCTCCACTGGAGAGCAGCTACCTGCCACACTCCTAATGTCCCCACCCTTCCCACTGATGTTCCTCCCCAACACTGACATGGTGCAGCGATGCATAGCCTTCGGTGTCATGGATATTACAGACCTCCCTGCTGTTCTTGGGGTGGGACAAGGGGCAGGAAGACAAACCTGCTTCTGGTGGTGACAGTCCCTAGATTTCTCTTTGAAAGGAGCTGTCACAAAGTGTCTGTCCCCTGCTCACATCCCCAGGTTAACCTGAGCATCCCTTTCCTCCACAGGTGCCCTACTCCTGGTTGTGATGGCTCTGGTCACATAACAGGAAATTATGCATCACATAGAAGGTAAGATCTCCCTGAAATTATTTTCTCTGTAGCCTCTTTCTGTGATTTCCTTTTTAATTTTATATTTTTTTTCCCCTGCAGTGGGCAGAGTCATAAAGTTCTGAATAAAACATTAATGTTACTGACAACCCAAGCCTATTTTCATCTCTTTAATCTGACTTCTCTCTTTTATTTTTTTGATGTTTCCAGCATCTGATTAGACGCTTCCTTCGACAGAATAAAAGACAAAGGGTCAGATTTTAGCTGATGCAATGTTCCTGTTAATAATGCTACCTATTTATGACTTCTATTATCACTTTAGAGCATTAATAGCAGAGATCTGAGCCTTCTGTTTCAACAATTCCATTAAACATCGCAGGCTGTTAGCAGATATCTTCTTATCTAGACACCATTAATTACTGTCCATCTCCCTCAATTTTTTTTATATATATATATATTTTTTTTTTTCCTCCTGACTTCTCCTCGTGATGTGAAGCTGCAAAACGAGAGAGATCAAAAACACTGTGCGCAATTCAAGGGAAAGATGACTGAAGCGGGGGAATAGGAAATGCAGTGATTCTGCCAGTCAGACAGGCCTTTCTTCTCTTTTTAACCACAGTCTGTCAGGCTGCCCTCGTGCCAAGAAAAGTGGGATCAAGATCACCCCGACAAAGGATGATAAAGAAGATCCAGAGCTGATGAAGTAAGTCTGGAGAAAACTCCCAAGCGGATCTTTTCACTTCATCTAGGAGGTTGAACTAGATGACCTTGAGAGTCCCTTCCAACCCAATATATTCTATGATTCTATCCCCTTTGGACCCTTTTTGCTCCATCCCCTTTGGACCCTTTTTGCTCCATCCCCTTTGGACCCTTTTTGCTCCATCCCCTTTGGACCCTTTTTGCTCCATCCCCTTTGGACCCTTTTTGCTCCATCCCCTTTGGACCCTTTTTGCTCCATCCCCTTTGGACCCTTTTTGCTCCATCCCCTATGACCTTGAGAGTCCCTTCCAACCCAATATATTCTATGATTCTATCCCCTTTGGACCCTTTTTGCTCCATCCCCTTTGGACCCTTTTTGCTCCATCCCCTTTGGACCCTTTTTGCTCCATCCCCTTTGGACCTTTTTGATCCATCCCCTTTGGACCCTTTTTGCTCCATCCCCTTTGTTTCACCCAGATTTACGTGGGGGAGCAGCATCCATCCTGCATCCCCGCTCCTCATTCATGCTGCTCAGAGCATCGTCTGCCTGCGCTGGAGAGGGCGCTGCCAAAGCTCTTCTGCTGCTTTCCAGGGATTTTTTCCTTGATCCCCAAAAAAGTGTTTGCAATTTTGAAATGGAGGGATTGAAGAGTCGTGTAGACATAGTGCTGAGGGACATGGGTTAGTCGGGACTTGTCAGTGTTGGGTTCATGATGGGACTCGATGAGTTTAACGGGCTTTTTCAATCTGGATGATTCTGTGATTCTGGCCAAAGCCCTTTGGCTCAGTGGACTGCCCCCAAATGCATCTTTTTTTCCCGTTTTAGCCCCAGGGCAGGTCTTGCCCTTGGAGAAGAGCAGAGGTGAACATCTCCGTGTAGCTGGGTTTTGCTCTGGAGCAGAGGCTGAGCTGGATCAGGGACTGGTGGCTGTGGAAGAGCCCCAGGGGGGCTGCAGGAAACCGGGATGCATGAGCTGGGGGAAGGACTTTTAAGATGATATTTGAGCCATCTGCTCTGTTCTTCCTCCTCAGTCTACAGGAAGGAAAGCCTCCCAGTTAAGTGAGCTGTGTGGTAATTAGCAGGAATTAGTGGAGTTTATTAAAAATTAAGCAACCTGCTAGAGAATCTGGGGAGGGGGAAAAATCCTTTTCTGGTTTAAATACACTAAATTGCTGGTGGCATTGTAGTGCTGGGCCCTTAACCAGTGACAGCGAAGGAAAGGACCAGCAGCAAATGCTGTCGGGTGTGTGTCCCTTCTCCCAGGTAACAAGTGATGAGAACAAGAGGAAATGGCCTCAAGTTGCA